TGCCGTGCTCTCAGCGTACCACGTCGCTTGCAGAAACTGCCTTCATGATCGTTGGTCCTATTTTAATAGGTCTCATCCGCTCAATCCGCCAGAGTCTGTCTTCACATGCTTGGGATAGACAAATCCCTTGCTCACCGAATGTCGAAGACACAACGGCTACTCTCAACCTGGTTTGGCCAGCCTGTCGAAGCTGTTGCCCAGGGTGTGGCCGCTGCGCATGTTACAGCTACTAGGAGCCACAGGTGAGAGCTGAGTGTCAGGTGGGGACCAAAGGTGTACGAGCTGCCCTAAAAAAAGGGCACGACATGCCCTCCACCAGAGGTGCTACCTCTCCCTGAACACCCCATACACCCCATACACTGCAAACGGTAAACGGTGTTTGGATCAACAACTTAAGATATGCTGACGATACAGCTCTGCTTGCCAGTAAGCATGAAGACCTTCAGCTCCTCATCAATAGTGTTACAGAAATATCTGAAAAATACGGCTTGAAGCTTAACACCTCAAAAACCAAGATCATGGTCGTCAGCAAACAACCCGTTAATTTACCACCAATAAATTCAGAAGGAATACCGCTAGAAAAAGTTGAAAGGATCACGCACCTCGGTTCTAATTTACATGAAAGCTGGGACATGACCGTTGAAGTAAAGACAAGGATAGAAAAAGCCCGAACAGCATTCTTCAAAATGAAAAAGGTCTTCTGCAGTCATGACATAAGCCTAAGACTGAAAATCAGGCTTGTCAGATGCTATATTTTTTCTATCCTGCTCTATGGAGTAGAGAGTTGGTCTCTGACAGGAAGGCCACCTGAAGAGACTAGAAGCATTTGAAATGTGGATTTACAGGCAGCTGTTACGTATAAGCTGGGTTGACAAGATCAGAAATGAGGAGCCACCAGGGAGAGCCAAGGGAAATCATCAAAACAATTAAAAAACAAAAATTAGAATATTTTGGACATGTGATGCAACACCCAGAAAAATACGGCATACTCCATTTAATCCTCCAGGGAAAGATTGAAGGCAAACGAGGTCCAGGCAGAAGAAGAACATCGTGGCTTCAAACTCTAAGGGATTGGTTTGGACAAAACTCAGCAGCACTTTTTCGTGCAGCTGCTGATAAAAACATGATCGCCAACATGATCGCCAACCTCCGATAACGAATATGGCACAAGAAGAAGAAGAAAAAAAATTAAAAATTGCTATATGATAGATGGATAGATAGATGATAGATAGATAGATAGATAGATAGATAGATAGATAGATAGATAGATAGATAGATAGATAGATAGATAGATAGATAGATAGATAGATAGATAGATAGATAGATAGATGATAGCAAAATACACTAAAAAATTTCCCAAAGTATTCTTATTAAGGCAAAAATTGAAGAAATTACTAGTGGTGATTTGTTGACATAACATAAAAGTTAGTTCAGTGATGTTCTAATACAGGTTGCCCTCAAGTTATGACCATTTTGTTTAGCAACCAATCAAAGTTTTGAGGTGCTAAAGGAAGGGACTTGACTTCATCTTGAGTCCTCAAAGTTGGATAAGACTTTCTGATCAGCAGTTTTGGATAATGGAGGAAAAAGTCAGGGAAACACTGGTATAGGCAAAATTGAAGGCAGGAAACACTTCAGCAGCCTTTGGCAGAAACAATATTAATAGGCACATTATACAGGTAGTCCTCAACTTACAACCTCTATTGAGCCCAAAATTTCTGTTGCGAAGTGAGACAGTTAAGTGAGTTTTTCCCTGTTTAACGACCTTTCTTGCCACAGTTGTTAAGTGAATCATTGAAGTTGTTAAGTTAGTAACACTTGTGAATCTGATTTCCCCATTGACTTTGATTGTCAGAAGGTTGCAAAAGGGAAACATAACCCCGTCATAAATATGAGCCCTGAATTTTGACCATGGGGGTGCTGCAATGGTTCTAAGTGTGAAAAACGGTCATAAGTCACTTTTTTCAGTGCCGTTGTAACTTCAAATAGTCACTACATGAATAGTTGTAAGTCAAGGACTACCTTTATAGAAGTTTTAAACAAATTGTCTGAATCTCTCCTGGCTCAAGGAGCTAAAGCTGAACTATCACGGAGCATGTATCTGACAAAATCTGCTTAATGAGTTTAGCCTGGTAATAAGATAGTCCTTGACTTAGGACAATTGGGACCAGAATTAATGTTGCTAAGCAAGGTGATTAATGAGTTGCCGAGGTTAAGCAAATCACTGCAGTTGATAAGTGAATCATGCTGTCATTAAGTGAGTCTGGCTTTCCCCATTGTCTTTGATTATAGGAACCTGGCTGGGAAAATCGCAAATGACGATCACAGAACCCCCAGGATACTGCAGCCATTATAAAATATGTGCCAGCTGCCAAATGCCCAAATTATGACTATAGCAGTGTTATGAAGGTCATAAATTTAAAGTCATAAGGCACTTTTTTCAGGTCCTTCATAACTTTGAAGGATTACTAAATGAATGGTTGTAAGTAGGGGAGTATCTGTGCTGACTTTTAAAAATTGCTTAAATCCCAGAAGTGTTGTGTCTGGAATTTAAAGTTTAACATATTGTGCCTATTATTTTTATAATGCAATAGTTGGGCGCAGGTGTTATCTGACAAAGTTAGATTTAGGGATATTTTCAGATATGATTCATGATGCCAGGGCAGCTATTTTTTTCTGTATCACCTACCTCAGGCTCCAGCTGGTCGAAACAATGATTTCTAAGAAGTAATTTATGACCAGGGGGTATGATTTATGATTTGTAGTCTCTGTGTTATTTTCGTAAGAATATGTTCCTCATAATATTACAGTTTAGCTTTTATTTTTAAATAAGGAAGTAAAAGAAGCAATGTTTTTGGTTGATCTCGTGTTTTTATCACACTCTTTGCAGATACCAACTGTGATTTGATGGGGATTTACACTGCCCACAACAGGCCGAGATTCAAAAAGAAGTAGTCTTATGACTATTTTGGAAATTACGTTTCAAGAAATAGACAACAAAAAAATGAACTGAAAGTGAATAAAAAATTAATTACAAGACAAAACAATGCACAGATGGCAGCAGAAGTTCAAAGCAGCAGAAACTTTGAAAGACCATAGATCCAAATATTGTAGGAAAGGATCTTTAAAAATATTTATTAGGATAGTATGATATAGGATCCTTCATAGGCACTTTGGACCATGCTGTGGGGACCCATCTACCACCTACTGTGCTATTTTTGAGCTCGAAAGAAAGCCAAATTGTTCGTTTCTTACTCCTTGAGAAATTGTTTTCTTAACTCGATGAAATGTTTGCGTTAAATGGATTTGCATTTTCAAATACTGGCAAGAAAGAAAAAAGAGAAACAGGACGGAAAAAACAATCCTGGCTTTTGGAGATAAATCAGTACTTGTTTCTTTTGAATAAGCAGTATTCCCGTGACTTTGCTAAAGCAGCCAGTAATATAGTAATAGCCCTTAATTTAGAAACACCTAACATGCCAAGTGTTGAATGAAATAACTCTGCAGATCCTTGTAGGTGCTGAATGAAGTGACTCTACAAGAGCTCTCCTGCTTCCGTAGCACAAAGCCCATCCCTGTCAGGTTCCCAGGGTTGATGAGAACAGTAATTGACGAGCCCCCTGAGGCTTCTGTGGTTATGCACAATATGCTGCTAATTACCTAAATACCTGCCTTACTTCATGCCATGACATTTTGCTTTATCACCATCATTGACTTACAACCTTGGGATGTAGGACCCCCAGCATCAAATGTATATCTTATTTTGCCAATTCATAGTCAGGGGTAGGCAACCTTGGCTCTTTTATGACTCGTGGGCTTCAACTCCCAGAATTCCTGAGCCAGCATGGCTCAGCTTGGAAACCTCTCCCTTTCCCCTCAGCATGGCTGGCTCAGGAATTCTGGGAGTTGAAGTCCACGAGTCATTAAAGAGCCAAGGTTGCCTACCCCTGGCATAGATGACAACTGGTGAATATTTTCAAGAAGAAAGCAAACTTTCTGGCATTTATTTTCTGTGTACCCAATGAACAGATGTCGATTTAGGAGTGGATATTGGTGGCCTAGCGCAGGGTTTTCAACCTTTTCACCATTTGTACCACTTTTAGGATATGGCAACATCCAAGTACCACCAGTTGCCTAGCAAGGTGTCAAAAACTTGATGACAAAAAAAAAAGGAAAAAAGTGATAAAGTACAGGTAATCCTCGACTTACAACAGTTGGCTTAGTGACTGTTTGAAGTTACAATGGCACTGAAAAAAGTAGCCCCCCAAAGCACAGCCGAGCAAGACACCTGCCTGCCCGCCCAGCGGTGCTCTAATTCCCCTCCCCCGCTACCACTTTTCTAGGATGGCCGCGTACCACCTGCCACGTGCCAATGTACCACAGGTGGTACCCGTACCACTGGTTGAAAAGCCCTGGCCTAGCGGTTAAGATTCTGGGCTTTTCAATCAGAAGGTTGGCAGTTCAAGACCCAAGCATGGTGTGATGGGGTGAGCTTCCATCCTTACCCCAGCTTCTACCCACCTAGCAGTTTGAAAGCACGCAAATGCGAGTAGATAAATAGGTACCACTTCAGTGTGAAGTTAATAGCGTTCTGTGCACCTTGGTGTACAGCCAATCTGGCCACATGACCACAGAAAATGTCTTTGGACAACACTGGCTCTCTCGGCGGAAATGAAGACGAGCACTGCTCCCTAGAGTCCAACACAACTGGACAGGAGAAGCTTTTACCTTTATTCATCATTTAAAAAGAAATACTGAATTAAAGTAATACTTCATCAATATTTCAAATGCTACTGCATAGCACGGCCTCTTTCTTAAGAATAGTGCATCTTGCAGGATATCTTCCTTTATATCAAAATCTCCAAAAGCACCCGTCAAAGAAAGTGCAGTGGCAAATTCAGGTGAGTATTGGGTCTCCATAAGCACACTCCTCTTCCAAAGCCAAATTGTAGTATCTTCCTTTTCCATCTTTATATGCACTGGTCACGATCCGAAGCCAGCCACGTTCTCCCTGAAAGACATTAGTTGCACACGTTCATGTAAGACAATGTTTCTCAACCTTGACAATTTTAAGGCATGTGGACTTCAACTCCCAGAATTCCACAGCCAGCAATGCTGGCTGTGGAATTCTGGGAGTTGAAGTCCACATGCCTTAAAATTGTCAAGGTTGAGAAACACTGATGTAAGAGTATTAAGTTCTTGTGTTAAGGTAGCACCCTAAAAATATTTTAAATCATCAACTGTAATCTGGGTCCAAGATAGAGAATTACAAGATAGAAAATTACATCTAATCAAGAAGTAACTTTTCCTAAACAGCAATAATGAAGTAACACGACTTACAAGCACAATTGGGACCAGAATTTCTGTTGTTAAGTGAGTCACACTGATTTTACAACCTTTTTGCCACAAAAACAATTAAGCAAATCACTGCAGTTGTTAAGTGAATCCTGCAGTCATTAAGGCAAGCCAGTTTCCCCTATTGACCCTCCTTGTCACAAGCCATCGGGGAAGGTCACAAATGATGATCACATGACCCAGAAACTGCAACTATTGTAATTAAATGCTGGTTGTAAAACACCCAAATCTTCATCGCATGACCATGGGGATGCCGAGATGGCCAGAAGTGTGAAAATTGCTTGTAATTTTAGTGCCATTGTAACTTTGAATGGTCACTAAATTAATAGTTGTTTAAGTCAAGGACTATAAAGATTTAACTAAACCGTACCCCTGTATAGCTTGTTGGTATATTTCACAGCTGGAACGCTCATAGCCTGCCATATCAAGCAGGGAACTTTGCCCACTCAGTTAAATACTTAAAAAGTAGTAATATAGATTGATGTATCGTGTCTTCCTTACCCAGGGATCTCCCCAAGAGTTCCGGACAATCCAATACTCTGTCCCATTTTCTACCCCCCAACCAGCAACAGAGACGATATGGTTTATTATAGGCAAGATGCTGAATTCTTCATACAGGCCTCCACTGTATGCATCCAGTTTGGAAGTGGCCATGATCCCACAACTACATAAAAACAAAAGGCAAGAATAAAACCTTCAGGATGAAAACTACTGAAACTAGCAGCTTTAGACACCCCCATGAAGACCACTATCCAATCACAAAGCCTGATTTTGGTCAGATTTAGTAAGAACCGGTGTAGTACAGCGATTAAA